TTACGAAAATGCCATTTGACCGTGTCTCGCGTGTCGGAATGGTCAACGTGTCGGAAAAAGTTGACCGCGTATCCGACACCGTGTCGGAGCGTGTCGGACACGACTCTTCCTCCGTGCTTCCTTGAAAATCTCAATGTGTACGCACATAACAAGGTTAGGCAGAGCCATTTGTGTTTTTTATGAAGAGACTTAGTTGCATGCAAAGATGAAGAATGAGCAGAGTTCAAGAAACTCAGACCTACTACAGTATAGTGATCAGATTGAGATCCAAACGACAAATATATCTGTAGTTTCACTCCCCTTGTCTTGGAAAAGAGTAAACAAGGAAACTAGATAAAATTCCACCACTAAATAAAAACTCACCAAAAAGACACATCAAAACAACACTTGCTAAATATGAGGTAATCGAAAGTTTTCAAATTAATGCCTCTATATACATATACCATATATGCTTTTTGTTTGGAAATTGTGAACTTTACTTCTTTTAGATAAAATAAAATCAAGGAAACCAAATAAGGTAGTCAGAGATCAAATAACGGAAAGCAGTCAATTATGAATCTCTTTTACTATCAAAATTGCCTCTCCCTTCTCTCTCAGTCTCTTCTTTGATACGTTCTTTACTCTTCTTCTGCTTGCCCCAGAAGGTAATAACTCTTCAGTGGGACTTTTGGAATCAGTCACTTAATTTGGCATTACGTGCATAAACCATGCACTCGCAGGTACTGTTGAGGTTTATGTTAGATACACTCCTTGTAGTTGTGGATATAGTCAAAATTCACAATCTTCACCCCTGTTTCCAATGCAGTAGTAACCAATTCACAATCTTATCCCGCAAACACTATAAATAGGACCTCCATATATGCCACTTCAGCAACCCAAATCAAAACTAAGCTAAGAATGGATACAAGACTTAACTCTATCACTTTTCTCACCCTTACACTTCTTCTCACTTCCTTATTTGCCTCTTCGTGTTCAGTATCAGAAGCCCGGAAATTGCATTTTCATAGTCCTTTGCTTGCCAAAGATAGAAATGGGATCTTCAGGGAATTGAAGAGCTATAGCCCAAGCACTGATGGTTCGTACAAGCTTAAGAACCTTCAAAACCTTTGGGGTATGAAGAACTCAGGTCCAAACCCTTGTTGTGGCCACAAGCTTCAAAACCTTGGAAACATGAAGGACTCTGGTCCAAGCCCCAGGGGACCAGGTCACAGACTCAAAAAGCTTCAAGCTCTTGGAGTTATTAAGCAATCTGGTCCAAGTCCTGGTGAAGGACACAAGTAATATACCAACAGTCTCTAATAACTCTATATATGGTCTCATTCTTTACCTGTTATGTATTAAGTTATTAATGTTATTGTCATTTTTAACTTGTAGATAGTTTCAGAAGTATTATCTTAAGGAGAAAATATAACGCATGTGAAATTAGGCTTTATTTCTGCAGTACTCGTTACCTACTCAATGCATGTAATATAATTAAACTTAATGAAGTTCATGGTGGAAAAAAATACATTGCATGTGGGAGCTGCATATTAACATGGATTTATTTTTATGCAAACACTTTTCAAAGACTTTTTTAGTTTATTTTCTATTTTTCTAATAGCTGTTATAGCAAAGAAATTTAGATCATTGTAAAATTACGAGGTGAAGGTTACATTGTTATTACATTTGTTTAAAATATAATGCACTTTAATTATGAATTGCACAAGCTTTATATTCGTTTTCTTCTCTGCTTAAGAAGATCAGTAAGATCAAGACGAGTTCACTTGAGAAGCTAAGCAACGGAAAAAGTTCTGTTAAGCAGGAATGTATGATAATTTTCGTATCGGTAAGGGTCCTTTTTTGTTTTGCAGGATTTCTTTCCAAACCACGTTCATACAGTAGCATCAATTGTTTGTTTTAGATTTTAAGTTCTCAAAATCATTTCTCTGATAAATGAAATTAATTTTGAGATAAGTAAAAAAAATTAGATTTTCAATAAATAGAATTATTAAGTGTCGGATTTACAAAAAATTTAAGAACATTCTTATTTTACATTCCAAAAATATTCTATTTTACCATGCAAATAAAATCAGTTTTTCTATTAAAAAAAAAATCAAATTATCATTCCCAATCGCAAACCAATTTTTTCAACGTCAATTTTTTTAATATTATTTCTATTAAAATTAACTAAAATGTTGGATACAACGCACAAATTTAACATCACGTCCCAATTCTGAGTTCATGACCACCTTACACGTTGGCTAACTTTATCTTAACTTCAATTAGCTAGCAACACTAATTGTCAACGCAATATATTTACACGTCCCAATTCTGAGTTCATGACCTCCGTATAGGTTGGCTAATTTTATCTTAACATCAATTAGGTGGCAAGCTTAGGTTTATATTAAAAGTTTATAATTGATCTTGCTTGTATAAATAATGGAGAACTCTAAGAATAACAACCACAAAGCTTCTAAATAAATTAAGGGGAATGTTTATCTTCTTTTACATAAGAGAACACTTCATTCCTAAAGACACAATAAAGTAGGGTCAATAATTTAAAAAGAAAAAATTAAAAACAAAACAAAATCATGGCACAAAAATCGATCCATGTGGGGAATGAGTTCTTATCATATGTCAAAGGAAAAAAGCATTTCTCATAAATTAAATATAAAACATGTCCACACCCACAATGTATCAGACTCACCTGTCATAACCAATTAAACTTCATTGTTCAAATAGGAAGAGTGAAATTAGAAATTTACTTTTTAACTTGCAAAATACATAATATCGATTGTGATGAGTTGCAATGCAATTCAATGAACAAATAATAAAACTGTAACAAGTCGGAATTGATAACATATGAAATTAAATGAATATTTAAATTAAACGATAAAATCAATAATTTATCCCAAATACTTTATAAATATAACAGAAACTAATACTTTATCAAAATAATATGTTGAAGAATCACACACTAATGTTTGTCCATTCTACACCATTACATCAAATTTTTTATTGATAGCAACTGGTAGGTGGAGTGTAGAAACCATTCTTGGTTGGAGGAAGTTGTGTGTGCTTCCTCCATCAACTAGCAAGGACAATTCAAACTTTCCAATGTGATATATATGTGAAACAATAAAGCTTGATAGTGCATGGAGGCTGATTTATAGTAAAGGATCAGATTTGATTACTACTTGTGACGGGGTGCTCACAATATTCATGGTCTCGGTTTCCATTTGTTCTTCATCGGATGTAATCAACACAAATGAACATAAGTTTTGCATTTGAGGCCAATGAAGTATGTCTCACCACAAGAACTTAAGGTTTTCGTTTGGAGTTTAAGTTCTTGAATCTTGGCTAGGGTTATGGCTTCAATGAGGGTTGGGGATTAAAAGAAGCTACTTCATATTGAATTTGAGGTTTTAATCCGGATATAAAGCAAATCAATAAGAAAGATTCATGCAAGCCATGTACCTTGTTAGATAAAGAAATCCATCCCAAGAATCAATGGTCATGTTCTAGTTCAACCATTGGTACTAGTCTAACGCTTTACCTTCAAAATAAAATGGAGCTACCTACAATCGTTGTGCTTCAACAATTTAGTAAAAATCAAAGAATTGATTGATCTTCAAGATCCAATCTCGTGGATCATCAGATCCATTGAATTTGAGAGGGTTGATGTTCTCTATAATTGTCAAAAATAGTATCAAGCTAGCACGTAACTCCTGGAACAGCTTGTGCATTTGGTTCTTGATTTGTTTAACCTCAGACTCAGTTTGGTCTTATTGATCATTGATTGAGGCGGCTCTCACCCATGCACGTCTTATATATATGTAAAGAGAGAAAAAGAGAAATATTGAATGAAAACAGATAAAATAAATTTCTAACACATTGCATTCTATACTATCCTATTTTAAACAATTCAAATTTCAAACAACAAAAGTTGACGTCGTCCTATTCTGTGTTATTGTTTTACTTAAGAAACCCTTTTCTTGTGTTATTTTTCTAGAAATGGAAGAGTTGCCGCGTATTCATAATAGTAATAATAGCCTTCATTCGTATTATACTTTAACATGTTTTTTATTCGGAAAATTAGATATCTCATACTGTTATTAACAACGAAAAGTGGGTACAAACGACGAAAATAAATATAATATTTTAAATATAAAAATGTCACATATAAGAATACATAAAATAAGACATATAAGTAGTTTTTTAAAGAGTTTAAAGTTTGTAAATTTATTTATCTAATGTTCACCAAAATACACATAAAAAAATATAAAATCCATGTGGACCTATATGAAGATAAGAGAGGGAAAAAAAATATAAACTCCACACATTTTTATGTATGTATTTTGAAAAATTAGATAAAATTATCTAAAGTAATTTTAAAAACTTTAAACTTTTTTTTTTTAAATAAAGTATCAAATGTAATAAGCATTAACTACTAAGAGATATCAATTTATTTATTTTTTTGGTACGAACCTGAAGGTATCCTATCCACATTCAACCTCCTTCAGTCACCTTGTCCTTGAAATACAGCCTCAAAGGCTACTTCCTCATTGGTACAGAAGATGTATTGAACTTTACCATCGGAGAAAGGATAAAACTAATCCTGCATCGAGGAAAAAGACAATTCCTCTGACCTCCAAAAATTTTTCAAAAATTTACTTGAGCAGGGTTTGAACCCCTGCCCAAGCAAATCCTTCGGGGCAATAAGCATTAACTACTAAGAGACATCAATTTAATTATCCATACAACACAAACAAACAAACAAAATATAAAAAATAGTACCTTCGAACTTGTATTTCGCCACCTTCCCCAAGTTTCAAGAGTGCAAATTGAATTGAAACATGAAAACAAATAATAGTACAGATTCTACCTTCAAAACAAGTACTAGCAAAAAACGCAAATTTATAAAGCTAATCTCCACTGTGTATCTCATTTTCACTCGTGACAATTGGAATTATGCAGCTAGTATTGCTGTTTCTTCGGAGTTACAGGCAAGAGCTCATGTCAGAATTAAATATAAAGGGAATACTCGAAAGAAAATAATTAAAGATAGTGAATTTCTATTCTGTATCTCGAGATCATTCACGTAATTTTTGGACAGTTCTACGAGAACCAGTAGCAGAATGTGAGCCGGGAAATTCCCAAAAAAAATACATAGACCTCCAAGAATAATCATATCAACATGCTCTAAAATTAAAAGTAAACTTTTAATTTCTCTTTTTTGGTAAAATTGACCAAAAACATCATAAACTTTATCATGTAGAATCAAACCCTCTTGAAGAAAAGAAACGGATCAAAATAACCCCAAAAGAAGCAATTGCCCAGCACCTTCCGCAGCAGACAAAATAGCCCCTACCCTACCAACCCTATAACTTTTAACCAAAAACCAATAAAAAAAAAGGAAAAAAATTCCCCTGTTAAGCAGGCAGGATTGAGGCACCTGTAACTTATTGCAATATTTGCATGCAGGATTGGATCAAAACCTACCTACTTCTTACACTCCAAAATCATTGGCCTTCTTTCAGAACAAAAGGAATGGAACTAGCCATCTGCCATCAAAAATTGGAATTTGGATCTACCTATGATTAAAAAAAGAAGCACATCAAGCTTCAGATCCAGGATCAGAAGAGCTTAATTCAGCAGGAGCTCCCCGCAAATTAGATGCATAAGATTCAAACAACTTAGACAGCTTTGGCTGCATGCCCTGGCATAGCTTGAATGTAGTGGGGCCCAATTTCTTGCACTGCAAAACAAATGACAACAAAGAATAAGTAACCAACCCCGTTTGATCAAAATAGCAAAAGCTTATAGAATGACTTTTTGGGCCAACATGTATCGGGAACTCCCTAAACTTTACTCAGCTAAGTCAACTCACAGCAAGCTGCATTAAAATGTAATTTGGTAGGGCAAGAAAAATCACTCATAGCCAAAGAGCTCACTCAAGCATGTAATTTGGAGTAAACCACCCTGACCAAATCATTTTAAGTATTGATTGACAAAATGGAAAAGCAAGACCTTTAAACTTCAGAAGGGTCAAATTCACATAAAACATCACATCAATGCATAAATAAACTAAGCAAGTTTCGATTATAATGATCTAAATCAATAGAAAACTAAATGAAGATAAGACATTTATCACCTCCTGATAGAAGGCATTGATCTCCTCTTCTGTAAGGCCTTCATCCTCATCTGAATTCTCCTCCCAGCCAAGAGAGCGAAGGAATGCAGCTTCTTCCTCATCTGGATATATAGTTGCACTGGTAATTGAATCTTTCTCTTCACCATCAGAAAGTCTGTGAACTCCCTCTTCATGGTCATTGGCATTGCCATTGCTAGTCAGTTCAGCACCATTTCCAAGAGATTGAGAACTAACAGAAGGGCTAACTACTTCCCTATTTGCTTCATCAGAATTCTCCATTGAGGGAGATGAAACCATCGGGCCAGAATCTGGAAGAACTGTAGAGGAGCTCATCAACGTTTTCTTCTTAATGAGATTAAAGAAATCATTCCGGCTCTGGGCTTGAGAAAAGGAATGCTTCTTATCCAAAGCGGAACCTAATTTCAGATCCAAGGAAGCTGGCTTCCGCTCTGTGGGGGATTTTAGGTTATTGGGGTTCCTCAAAGGTGTAGAAGCAGATGCTGAAGGAACAGCATGTTGACTTCCCGGTTTGCTGTTAGAATAATTAGTTGGATTTGCAACATCCTTGGAGGTTGGGGAACCACCATTTTCCCACACTACTGATTTGAGATCAGTAAATTTTCCAGATGTCTTTGGAGCATCAACTTTGGCATTTACACTGCGAACAGACTGACTAGCAATGTGCAATGCAGAGGGCTGCTGTGGCACACTCTTGGTAACTACACTTATCTCAGCATTTCTGAAAGTTGATTTGGGCTTTGATTTCTCAGAAGAATTAAGAACCTGCCAAGAAAACTACCATAAATCACCAAGGATTTAAGGGAAAAGAATGCATAAACTTTTTGAAAAGAAGAAAGTAATATACACAATGCTAGAAAATAGAAACTTCCTATATTTTGGATGTATGACCAAACATCTAGGAAACACTATTTAATTTTGATGTCACTGACAGATTAAGAACAAAAATTACATCCTTTACACAAACCTTATTCCTCCACAGGTTTCCATGTATACATGCAAACAAATAGAACACAACCATCAAAATCCCTCATTGATATTATTGCAAGATTAAGACCAAACCTGCATACATATTATAATTTCATAAAACAGTCCACAAAATAAATTTAAGTATCCTTCCAAGAAATAAAAATCTCATGTATAATCGAGAATCCACAAACCCATCAGTGGTGCAGTGATTAGAGTAAACAAGTGTAAGTAAACCCCAGTCAATAAGGTGTATGTTAGGCAAAATAGGGGTGAACATAGAGGAATAGTGCCAGAGTCAGTCTGTGAGTGACAGTTAATAAGTTGGAGCCTCTAACCAAATTGCGTGGAGAAAGGATGGGTCAATAATAGAATAAAAGGGAGTAGGAGGGGAGTCCAGAATTAAGGAATTGAGAGAGAAGTGAGCGGGTGCCAGGATCCCCTAGTCCTGGAATTGAGAGAGAGAAAGACTTCCATTGTAACCCCAATCAAAACTCTATCTCTAGGATCCTGATTCAGATCCTGGGTAAGAGAGAATACTAATAAAAAATTGCAATTCTTCCCTGTTTCTTCACAATTCTGACTCCAGTACCTTTAAGCATGGAAAAGTGATGTAAGAGATCACTTGAATGGAAATGTCACAAAAGAGTTGAAACAAATGCTGGATTATATATAAAATGTGTGTTGAAATAATTAAAAGTTAAAACTAAAGGAGGTCAACATACGTCGGTTATCACGACATAAATTTACCAAAACACAGATGGTTATACATAGAAATGTATCCCCTATTTCTTAATGAAGTTCTTACAATAAATTCTTAATGAAGTTCTTACAATAAAAAATGAAGAAAATAATGTAACGCCCACCATTTGAAAAGAAAAAAGTTAATAGTTTTTCATAAGCAATAGAAAAATCAAATCATAATAGATTACTATTCCAAGTATCCTCATCATCACAGCTCACAAGTCTCCAATATGTAACATAAAAGATGTGGGAGGAATAAGAAGTCTAGGTCAAATAAGAAGGGGAATTTTTGGGTGCACATGGTGGACCAGTACCACCAGACTTGTGCACTAGATCAAAGTTAATAGGATCAGGGAATAGACAGTTGAAATGACATTTTAAGATATAGGTCTAACCATGTATTAGTAAAATGAAATGCTTGCTCATATTGGTCCAGTGCACAATGAGCATGCAAATATCGTTGTAACGAGATACCATATGATGATTCTAATGATTAGCTTCATGAGTCGAATTCAGGCTACAAAACCAAAGTAAAAAAATAAAGCAAAAACATCGACCTGGCTAATTAATAACTTCTAATGCTAGTAAATAACAAGTTTTGCTCATACATAAGAACTCAAATTACTACTAATATCACTTTGGTGAGGACAGAAAGACTCTAGTTTAGAGAGATTTAAAAGGACTTCAAATGAGAGTTACCTAAAATGCTTGCACATATTCTAAATCATAAGGATAGAAAATACATGTACCGTTTATAGAGAGAGGATGATAACTAATAAACAACAAGTAGCTTCCATAAACACCACTCTTATAAATTGGTACATTGCATAAGAAGCAATCAAACAACATAAAAAAATTTGAACCAAATCAGCAAGTTAAGCACCATTTCCCCATATGAATTTCACATGCAAAGCAGAGAATAAACACAAATAAATACTCATTAAAGTAAGCGAAGAAAGAAATGGAAAAGTGATTTATTTATCCAATGCTTATGTCCAATCAGTTCCATCAGATTAACAACCAAGTTCAACAATAAAACAGCCCACCAAAACTTCTGTTTCGTTTTCCTTTTATTTAATTGAAATATAAACAGAACAAAGGTGAATACAGCCTTAAAGTAAAAGCAGCATTATGCAGCATTATACAGGCCAAAGGATAAAAATCAAATAAAATATATTCTAGGAATTCTGTCTTCAATAATAAAGGCCAAACCCCGGTGTACAAGGCTCCCCAACTTGCGAAGATAGGAATGAGGATCAATTGTTTGCAGCCTTACCCTTGCATTTTTGCAAAGACGTTGTTTCCCATACTCAAACCCGTGAACGCTTCCAATCACAAGGAGCAAACTTACCCCTGCTCCTAGGTTCGGCCTCAAATTCTATCTTAAATAATATTAAACTTAAAATAGTAAAGCAACACGATTGCAAGAACTAGTTTGTAATTTATCATCATCTTACTACAACGTTTTGGTCATCATTAAATGATACAAAATAACTTGGTGCAAAATGATTTTAACAAAAATATTTCTGTCTACTCATTTCATTAATATTTATATCTTTCTAAACCTAATGTATTTGGCCATCATTGAATGATACAAACAAAACTAGGCACAAAAAGAAAAAAAATATTGTCTCCTGAATTCCTCAATATTTATATCTTTCTAAATCTAGTATACCCAAGAACACCACACCTTCAACCATCAAAAGCATTCCAAGCAATTTACAGCAATTTCTAAGTCAAAATTTCCAGTACTTAAATCATTTCAATCTCAACCAAGTAGTTTACAGCAATTTCTAAGTCAAAATTTCCACTACTTAAATCATTTCAATCTCAACCAAGTAGTTTACAACTAAATAGCACCCCCACACAAACAAAAAATAGGAAAGGGCTCAGTACAAGTATAACATCAAATGTAACAATGCAGGCTAGTTATACTATTTAAAGTTATAACAAACATAGAATTTAATATAAGAAAAATCAATTAAAAAATAAGTTACACAAGGATATAGATTTACTATAAAAAATAAAATTCCCTTATACAATCTAAAACAGAAAAAAGTTTGCAAAGACAAACTATAAACAATTTTCCATAAGGCAATTATCTTACCAAAGCCTTAGGCATTGATGGTGTTACTGGAATCAATTGTTTTGACTGCTTGATAGCCAGTTCCTCACGCCTTTGGGTTTTGACCGACACCTACAATTGATTAAGGCCTTATTAACTGATCGTGGAAATAAATAAAATCATTATAATTAAAAGAATAAGAATAAAGAAGCTAGTGATGTAGGCAACTAGCTCGACTACCTGGGGAGTAGAACGAGCTCGAGATGGAGTCTGTGTCAAAGCCTCAGCCATATTAAGACCAGCTGTTGCGCTTGACATTACAGACCCAGAAGTTGTAGTAACAGCTTGTTGCACCGATAGAGATCCAGTACTACTGCTTCCCATTATAGTTGGTACCTCTGCTAAGGCAGATGTCCATCCCTCCCCACCAATCAAAGCTGAACTACCAACAGGTAGACTTTGACTGGCAGTAGCACCCAAACCAGGAGATGGAACCCTCCCTATTTCAGTGATTCCCTGCTTCTCTTCAGCCCCAAGTGATGGAAAATCCTTATCAAAGACAGCTTTCTGAATGCTACTACCAACATTACCCCCAGAAAGTATGCCATTGCCATTATTCTGATAGATGCTGCCAGAAGATTTTGCATCAACAGCAGCTCTACGGGGTAGAATCTCACTCTGTTTCCTGGAAGCCATCGAATGAGAACGCCGCAATGTATCCCTCTCTATCCTTCCAGAAAAGAGGTTTGCCAATGGATCAGAACTATCACGATCCCAGTGGTCTCCAAAATTGGATCTATCTTTGTCTCTGTCACGGTCCTTGTCACGATGACTTCTGTTAAAACTACTGTAGGCATGCTTAGCAGAACCATTGATAGAACTCCTCCGAGAATTTGAGGAGGATATCCGATCAAGAAATGCAGGACGAGAGCTATCAAAATCACTAGTGTTCCTAGAAGATCTATTCCTTGTGTGATGGGCTACAGAGGGAGAATCTACACAACAACATTAAGACATTTATTATTTCTGCCGCTTATTTACAGAGATAACAAAGTTATAAACTTAAAATAAATTGCAAACTCCTGTTTGCTTTTTTCACATATATAAATGCACAAAAAGGAATAAGATTATAATTTGAGAAAACATGACATTCTGAATTAAAGCATTAAAAATTGAAAAATACCTGTGTGAGTAGATGGGGATGCAAAATGTTGGGCTGAACTGCCAGCCCCAGCAACATTTCCAGCACTTCTCAACCATTCTGGAACTAAAGCAGGTTCACTTCTTTCCATAATTAACAGTGAACATGATCAGAATTAAAAAGAAAAGCAAGAGTACCACTTCACCACCTCAACACCCTCAAGTACCACTATTTTACTTGTATGCAAAACCACTAGCTCTAACTCGCACCACTCATCTTTCTCCTTTGTACCAAAACTAATCAAGAACAACCTGCCTATGCACAGAGCTGTTCCAAATGGAAATACCAGTACTTTCACTATGAAATTCGATCAATCCACAATTCAGTATCCTCCAGCAGTTAAGAGCAAGATTATCCCCAGTTAATTTACAACCCCTTTGAAAAAAATCCAACCTTTCCAACCACACAACCTGCTGTTGTTACTCTAGACAGATTCAAGGCCCGTAACCTTATAAAAAAATAAAACGCTCAGATTAATGAGTCCTTCAAAAACCCAGTAAACAGACACTGTTTCCTGTAATAACAACCCCGTGACTTAGAAACACAAGACAATGTTGCACAGAAAGAGCCTCTCCACACTACGCCTCCATCTTCAACCAAAAGATGGATTTGCAGACCACTATAAAACACTCACAGATGTCTCATCTCTCCATCAGAATTTAAAAAAAAAAAAAAAAAAAAAAAAAACCCGATTGAAAAAATCGAACCAAAGCCGTAAAGGGCAACGATAAACTCAGCCGGGAACGCCAAGAAAATAGTTATTAAAAAATCGAAAACCCTAGAAGATACGCACGCGATTGACGGGTGTAAAAAAGCTCCTCCAGAAACTAGGGTTACAGAGGCTAAACGTCGGCGTTTGAATAACCCTAGAGGCGAGGCAGTGATTGATGATGACAGCGAAACGTTGGCGTTCGAATAACCGCCAAGCCGTATCGCGGAATGCAAAGCGGAAGAAGAATAAAGAGGAGGAGGAGTTAGTTGTTGGTGTAGGAGAATGAGCAAAGAGCAAAATGGAATAATAGAAGAAGCAGATACATAGAGAAAGAGAGAGAGAGTACGAGAAAAATAGGAAATAGGGTTTTGTTTGTGTGAGAGAGGATGTGTTAGTGTTGTGTTGTTTATGTGAAATTGAAATTGAGAGAAGCCCAGAGAGAGAGAGAGAGAGAGAGAGAGAGAGAGGGGTATAAATTTTCTGTTAGTTTTCGGATACTCAGAGGCAAACGTATGACGAACAATCTCTCTCTTCTTTCTTTCCTTCTATGATACCAAATCAAATTAAAATTGGTTTCCATCTTCTTTTCATGTCTTAGTTTTTTTTTTTTTTTCTGAAGTTTTGTTTCTGGGCCGCCCAAATTCCTAATTGTTACTATATTATTCAATTTTCAAATATACAGGGAAAGGATCTTGTGACAACTAAGTTGTGTTACTACCAAGTGACTACCAATTAATCTCACTGTTAGACGATTATGTTGATTCAACGGTTATATTTATTTCCATCTTCGTATGGTCATGGTTTCCCAAATTTAATAATTTATATTTATTTTCACCTTTGTATGGTTGTGATTTTCCATATTTAATTATTTCACTTTAAATATAGGAAACCATGACCATACAAAGATGAAAATAAATATAACCGTTGGATCAACATAGTAACACAACTTAGTTGTCACAATATTTTTCCTCATATATATATGGGAAAAACTATTCTTATGTTACATAAGATACATTTTCTCTCCTACACACCCTTCGATAACTGTGCCACCTCTTTTTTTTTTCTTTTCTTTTCTTTTTTCAGGTGGTGGAGCCCACAAATTTATCTCTATGACATGAGATAACTATCTCCTTTAACATGAGATTAATAAAACCCTATATATATATATATATATATATATATATATATATATATGATGTAAAATTCTTTGACACCAGTGTCAAATTTCAAATTTAACATCTCATCTGAGAACTGTTAGATTAAAAAAAATAACGACTCTGATTTGTAAGCATGTGACATCATTGATCTTTTTTTATCTAATGGCTCTCACATTATGTGTCAAATTTGAAATTTGACACTGGTGTCAAAGGATCCTATCTCTACATATATATATGAGAAAAATATTTCTCGAACTACTTGAGATATATTTATTTTCGATCATCCCAAAATTACGTCATTTTGTTTATTTATTTTCTTATATTAATTGATTCACCTTTGAATAGTTATGATTCTTTTTTTTCCTCTCTTATTTTATCATCATTGATCCATCTTTGTACAGTTATGATTTAATAGCAGCAAATAAAGTTATCTCAACAGCTTCAGAAACGATAAACTCATATATATCATTCCATTCAACCCTAAAACGGGAAACATTTATTTTTTTATTTGTGAAGTTTAACTCCTATAATGTTGATATATGGTGTATGACTTTTCTTGACCATAACCAACTGGTCCAAGCTAGCGGCTCACTCTCACTATAGATAAGAAAGAATTCAGTTTGTTTATAAAACTATGGTGTATTTTATTAGATTAATCATAAATAAATATTTTACATGTTTATTTTACCCAAAAAAAGCTTACTTGAAAAAATCATGTGGATTATATAAATAAAATGCGTTAAACGGACTTTCCTTTTAGAAACTAAAATTTTTGTTGTCTGGTCATTGGTCAAGCAGCATTGTTCAATAAAATAATGACATTGGTGAAATTTTGGCTTGACCTGGAAAAATATGCGAGACAAATATGTCAACCCCAAATGCATATTAAGAAAGAAAAAAATGGGCCGAAGTATAAATTAAGCTGACCCATTGAGGTCCATTTCCCTTTATTGGGTTGGGTTTAGACCTCCAGACTGAATAATAAATCATTTGTGGAATTATATATTAAAAAAAGACAAAACATAACTAAAAAAAAAAAGACAAAACATAACATACGTTAATAATAATTACTTTTAATTTTTTTTCTCTCGAAATTGACATGTCGAAATATTATTAAAATATATGAAAAATCAGTACAATATAAAAAAAATGCTATTTATATTTCAACTCTATCTTTGTACCTATCACAATATGATAAAGTTGAAATGTAAATGCACAAAGAATATATGAATTTGTATGTAATTAGATAATAAAAATTATGTAAATGTGTATAATTATTTTTGATTAGTGTGTTTTCCCTACTCTCACTCTCACTAAGTATTTCTATTTTACCATTCTCACTCAACTCCGTCTACTGCATATAATTACTCATTAAGTAAACTATCACATTTATAATCACTTACAACCACCCATTGCCAACACTCTCCCTTTCTATTGCTATGACATCTCATTACTTATATTACTCGCTCGCCACAAAGGGATTTTACTATCACTTATATACATCCTCGAACACACATGCTTCACATCTCCAGCATATGCATACACACATTTTTCATTATCCTCTCATGACACTTTACATGTGACACACGAATAGCCCTTGCTCAGGTCGTCGCTACAAGATTCTAGTTAATTATATACCAGACCTCCTTGCCCTTATCTTCAAGATGGAAATACCATACTCCATCAATTGGGTTGGACACCCCACATTTAAGCATACACACTCGAACAATATATATATATATATATATATATATATATATATATATATATATATATACACACACGCACATGCACACACATTGGCACGACCAATTTATAATAGTATAAGATGTCTTACACCTAATCCAGTGTAACACTTAAAGGCTTACTCCTTATTTCAATTATTCATTTTAATAAAATTTAATGGTCCCAATTTGTTTGGGTGAATAAGCATATGACCTTTTTTCCCCAATTTTTTTTTTTACAACTTATTTTTCTTCATCATTTTGTTAGCACCTTTTATCCCTCACTCTCACTCATGCCCCTTGCCATGCCAGTAGGAATCGAACTGCTTACTTCTCTCCTCATTAACATTGCCAAAAAGGATACCAATCACCGTCAAAGATGTCACGACTCACGATCCAATTATAGGTCCATGATCAGTACACAAGCTAATATTAGTCTTAACATTAATCAGTCTAACAAGTCTAATTTTATCAAAATACACTCTATTTTATAAATTGTGCAACTAACTTGCTCTTAGACGAAATGGAACAACACTAAAATATATACCTATAAGTGTTCTAGAAAAATTAAAAATACCTTACCCACATGAAATGATATATCGAGCTCATCATTGACAATGAAACAGACTTCCACGATCAAACAAAACGAGTGAATTTAGAAGAGGTGTTAAAATGTGCCAACCTGCCCCATTTAGCCTTAGAATATATGGGTCTCAACTTGAGAGCCTTCAAAAAAAATGTTTATTTAAATAAATAATGAAATTAACAATACAATTCCACAAATTTCCATGGGATCAATATGTAAGAAGATTCGTGTAGAGTTTTTACTCCGACAAGCAATAAAATCTAATTTTTTATGATGTACTTAATATTTCCTAATACAATGAATTTATTCTCATATTTGAAACAAAAAGGAATAACACAATCAGTTGGCATTGCACATCATATACCCTTAGACCTTGGTACAACACAAGCAAGAAAAGAACAAACACAAGATTTTACATGACAACAAATAAGAACAAACAAACAAATAATACTTGTTTATCTTTCTTTCTTTTTTTGTATAATACTTGTTTATCTTTACCTGATCAAACAAATACAATAACACAAAACCTTAAAATTTAAAGACATTAATCACTCAAATGTGGTCTCATATGGGACACAAATGTCCGTATATAGACAAACATAAGGCACACTAGTGCTATGGTGTTTTTTAATCCACTTTCCCTCATATAGTTTGCATTCTAAAGAAATGCATACAAAAACATAGTCACTAGAGCTTCACAGAATCAATATAAATATCATCATAACTACTATTTTAAAATCAATATATTCAGAATCAATGCATCTAAACTATCAATTTCAACTAGCCACTAACATAAACATATCTCTAATCTTCAATTTGAACTTATTGATGCACATTTATTTCTGATGTGGGTTTTTTTATTATCAATAAAATTACAATCATCTTCATCTAAAACTCATAACCAATTGAAATATAACTACCCAATCTGACAATCAATTCCAACATAACCAAGCAATATTACATATACTTATAAAAGAACGTGCATAATAATTCAAAGCATTACCATTAGAATTCAAAATAAAACCATGCAACAATTCTTTGTACAAATCAACATTTCGATATTTTTAGGAAGGATGGAACTTCTATATTTGGTAAGAACACATCCATCGATACTAAAAGTATATTCTGGTGTCACTATAGTATTTTGTATGCTTAGCATATCTCAGGCTATAATAGAGAGTGTGAAAATTATACTTTAATTGTGCTTCTAATAATTAATCACATCAAAATCCTCCCTGTCACCAAAATCAACTTTTGGTTCATCCAAAAAAAGATTTAATTTACTCTTACGAGACCAACAATAGATATACTTCCTGTTGGAGTTATATGTAACGTATATTGTTTGAATTCTTTGTAACCGTAGGTTTGAATTCTTTGTAATTTATATTGTTTGAATTCAATTCTTTGTAACCGTAGGTTTGAATTCTTTGTAACGTATATTGTTTGAATTCTTTGTAACCGTAGGACTGTTTAGATAGAGTATTTATTTGTTTTAGTCTGTTACGTTGTTACCATTTATTGTATGTTCGCCTATTTAAAGGCTACCAATGAATGAGATAAACACACAGTTGAAATATCAAGTTTATCTTGGTATCAGAGCAATCCTAGTATACACGTTTCCGCATTCCCTTTCAGTGCGAAAGCTGGTTCATTTAACATGGCACCAGGTGGTGGCAGCAAGTCCAAAACAACTTATCCTAGTTTGCCATTTTACTTGGCTGGATCCGACAGTCCAGGTCTCTTGTTAACGACTGTCATGCTGCGTGGTGAGGCCAACTATGACAACTGGGCCAAGCTCATAAAAAACGCATTGAAGGAGAAAAACAAATTGGGTTTTGTGACCGGTTCAGTCAAGAAACCAGGAGAGGATGATGCCGAAGAGTGGCGCGCCTGGGAGATGTGCAATTCGATGCTCAATGGTTGGATTCACAACACCATTGATGCAAAACTTCAACCATTCATCAAGTGCTTTGATGACGTCAAGGACTTATGGAATGACCTAGAGGAAAGGTATGCAGTGCAAAACTTTCCAAGATAGTATCAACTGAAATCCAGTTTAGCCA